TAATAAGGGTTTCAATTCCAAACTAACTATATATATGGAATACATAGAGAATCTTAATTAGAGTAGAATAATTAATTATAGTAACACTATAATAGGAAATTAAAGTAAATAATAATAATAATAATAATAATAATTTATTTCCTACTCCCTCCTTCCCAATTTAAATTGCACGTATCGATTTACGATGTTTGACTAAATTTATTTTCAAATCATTTTATATAAAAAATGGTGTAAATTAAAAAATAAAAATTACATATTAAAAAACTAAATCAAAATATCTACAAAACTAGAGGTGACATGAATATATTATTTTATCAAATGACTAACAAAAATATGGAAAGAAAGTAAATGAAGTTTGACCATATAAATAGCAAATAGACAATTTAATTTGGGACGGAAGGAGTATTATTCTTATTATATCTAATACATACTACCTAGTATATAATTTAAAATGTAACAAAACCCTTTATTTTAGAAATATATATAAAAATTAAATTTAAATAAAGAAATATTATAAACTGAAATTGCATAGTTAAATGCAAAAAATGTTTATGAAACTAGTATATATTTCACAAACTAAACAAAATAAGTGATAACAAAATAGTTTTTCAAATTTTTTTTAATATATTTATATTTATTTTTAAAACTAAAACTCGAATTAAAGTATAATTTACACATAATAAAATTTGAACCAAATGTTCAAAACAAATTTATTATTTTATAAAGAAATATAAATAGATTATTATTTTTATAACATATTTGTATATGTGTTCGGTTTGGGATTTTTTGGTATGAGAAGTTATCTCGTACTGTTTCCATATACCTTAACGGTCGTTCAGTTTGGTAATGTTCTGTTCTTTGGAAGTAGTTTTCGGTTTTGTATTTTTCGGTTAAGTATTCTTAATATTTTCTGTAAATTTTGAGATCAATTTAGCATTTGTTCACCCCAAATAAACTGGTTAATTTGTTTTTGTATTAACGCTCTCTATATAATACTTTCTTCGTTCCCAATTAATATTTTCAGTTGCTATTACGATCTCTCCAAAAACTTAAGTTCGTATGCATGTCTTCATCGATCACTTGATAAAATAAAGTATTTTTGTCATCTCTTAATTATTTTGTAGCTAGAACTTTTGATGTAGTTTTGAATCGTGTAATAAAATAATGTTGAAAGAAACGAAATTATGCACCTTCATCTGAATGGGGAGAATAAAATTTAGACTGAGAGAGCATAACTTTTATGTAGTTGATGATCAAAGTTTATCTAATTAAAGTCGAAAAAAAGTTAAACTACCTAATATGTATACAAAGTGAGTAATTAATAGAAATATTTGTACTAAATAGCATTAAAACTTAAGTCATTTCCCTAAATAGCACTTAAATTGTTTTATTCCCTAAATAACACTTAATAATGTCCATAATGACCAGTGATGACAAACATTTACTTGAATAATGACTAATGCATAATGACTAAAACTGCTACATTGGGAAAAAAAAGTACATGCAGTGCTATTTAGGGAAAATCATTATGTTTTAGTGCTATTTACGTAAAATCCTCTAATTAATATGACCAATGTACCCCTCCATTTCTTCATCGACAAAACCCGCTTTCTTAACTCTCAACTACCCAACACATCCTAGTCCCCCCGTAATAATAATAAAAAGACATTAAAATTAATAACAGCAAGAAAATAAAAAAAACACCATGCCTCATCAATTATTGTTTCGTTTTTTGTGTCAAACGTTTAATTTTATATATATATATATATATATATATATATATATATATATATATAAAAGTGTATAATGAATTAAAATATAAAAATTATACTAAATCATCGGATCAAAATAATGAAATATTCTTCCCATTTTCCTTTTTGGTTCGTCCGGAAATATTCTTCCCATTTCCTTTTTTAGTATACTTTTTAAGGCTAAATATCAATAATACCCTTCTATTTTATCACAAATCTACTTTTTTAGTACTTTTTTAATAATAAAAGGAGATTTAAAAGTTTATAGTATGTGCATTTTTGAAAATTTTGCATTTTTTTTACTATTCCTTAATAAGCGTGCCAAGTCAACACGGGAAGAAAATTTCCGGACGGAGGAAGTAATTTTTTGCTATCATATTTTAAGAGATTGTTAGTCAAATATTAGACTCGAAAAGTGAATCGGACAGTTAAAAAAATAGAGAGTATGTCAGAGTCTTTCAGTTAAACTGAGTAATCCATTGGATTCAATATTTTAATTTGGTTCGACCGAAGTGTCTTATATACTCCAGTCCAAGTGGTCCCTACCTCATTCTTAGAAGCTACCATTGTACTATATATAATCCATTAGATGCAAAACCCTCATCCCATCACTTAGAAGGGAAAAAACTTCTTTTTGATTGTTTAGTGAAGGGAAGGAAAGTATTGATATTTGATGCACTAAGACATGGGAGGGGGATTAATGGCCAATGTGATAGAGAGGCTGAAGGAGAGGGCGGCGGGCGGCGGCGGCGTCGCGAACGACGGGGTGGGGGTTTTGATGAGCAATGGAAAACTTGGGCATTATGGCCCGTTTGTCGTCGCGGGCGTGCTCCTTCTTCTCATATTCGTAATGTGCGGGTGTTGCTGTTGCGGTGGCGGCGTTTTTGGCCTCGGCGTCACCGGAGGGATCGCCGCCAAGGGGATGAAGAGGAAGCAGAGAAGAAGAAGCACTTCAAAGAAAGCCTATTGATTGGCTAGTACCAATACTTAATTAGATGGGAAGGTTGTGGTTGCAAATCATTCAAGTTTATTGTCCTTTCTTCTTGGCAATAGTTATATACTCCTTCCCGTTTTAAAATTTTTTTCTGTTTTAATTTTTCTGGTCGAACAGTAACATACTTTGACCATAAGTTGTGAGAAAAATATATCTAATTATAATATAAATTCAATATATATAATTGCGTTCATTTTATTAGGTCATACAACACTTGGACTGAATCACATTAAAAGATTAAATTCAAACGATTACTTTGTTCAATTAAAGAACTTATATACTCATTGTTTGCTTCTCACTTTCTCGATGTGAGTTACTCTCTAACATCAACTTTTTTTTTACTTATCTACTTTTGAAGGCATATGAAGAATGTATACTACTCTCTCCGTCCCGCAAAAAGGATTTCTTTCTTTTTTCATCCGTCCCAAAAAATACTTCTCATTTCCTTTTAAAAAGTCACTTTTATATATCCTTACTAAATCTTAACCTACTTATCACATCACACTTTTTATATATTAATATATCCATCTCATCCTACTTTATCCATCACATCAAAGGGTATTTTTGGAAAGTCAACACCAAAATACACTCTCCTTAAATCCTCAAATGATCAAAACGGGAACTTTTTTAAGGGACGGAGGGAGTATAACAATTATATCTAAAGTTATAATATAGGACTCTCAAACATGCATCTACAAATATGATTTTATTATCCACATTTATTTTTGTACATCTTTAATGGAAAGACTTTATTTCTTTTCAATTGAAGCAAACTAGATTCATACCCGTGCGTTGCACGGAAAGTATTTTGTTCCAAAAATAAAATTGCAAGTATTTGAGTTATCAATATTTGAGTATAAACAAATATAAGTGAATAATTTAAATTAAGATTCACATAAAATAAAATATTATATTACATTCCAAAATTGAATGCAAACAAATTACACAACATATTGATAAAAGCGTTAACAAATTATAAAAATAAAATAAAAAATATTTGTTGTGGAGCATAGTCTTTGTTCATCCTCATCACAAATCATAATTTTAAATCATTATGATTCGTAACTCTTGATATAATGATTGATGTTGACTTTAGATTTTGTTTATGATCATAGCGTACAAAATCATTATATACAATCTTAAAATGAGTAAATAATCTTGCTTTAGAAAAAAATACACCCTCCAACATGATTTAATTGTTTATTTTCTTATTTGGTTTGGAATAAATAATTAACCGTTCACCTTAAATATTCGATAGAGATACTATTACTCCGTATATTATACGGAGTATATCAAAAGAAATGTGCATCAAATCTTGAATTAGCACATGTCGAGGAGCATATCTTCCGGCAAATTCTATTGTGGTTTTTAGGTTTAGATTCATTATATGGACCTTCAAACATAAAGTGGTTAAATGTATTAGACCTTATATAACGAAAGAGACTCAACTACAATCCCATAAAAAATATTTGAAAAGATTCACATTTTCACGTGTGTACCTTAGGATTATGATAGCACAACTCCTATTTGAGATTATTTTGAATCCTATATTAAAATTGGAAAATATTCCCTTTGTCCATTTTGTTTCTTTACAGATATTACTCACGTTGTCAAACTATTTCCTCTTTCCTTCATATTTTCATCTATAATTTGATAAAATATCAGTCATATATACTCTTATATGTTTATTCCTTAAATAAGAACGTTGGCATTGTGCAGTGTGACTATTTGGCATATTGCATTGGCATTACAATATTTCCTAAGATGATATGAATATCATTCATTAGCATCATACTTTTATTTTGGTATATGGAGCATGTTTTAGTCCTACTTAGGTACATGACATTTTTTCCATCATTTGTATATTGATTTTCTTGAAATGTCTCTCTAATGAAAGCGGTGGGTTATAAAAGGCGAGTAGGGTGATAGAGGAACAATAGGGTAGAAGTACTTTAGATCAAAGCAAAAGGAGTAAGGTGAATGTACATGCCAGTCTCACCACGGACGACACCAAGCTCACAACAAGAATGACTATGACTGTATGTTTTTGGTGATGTCAAACTTTGGTATCAAACAATGAGGTTAAATTAGCATTTTCCTTCAAGAGGAGGGTGTAATAGAAATAAATATACACTACAAGGACTCTACAATGTGAGTGAGTGTGAACCAGATAAAAGTCAACACTTAACAAAGCAAATCTAGGGATGCAAACACATTGGCTTAGCCAAGACCTATAAAGTTTAATTTTGGGGTGAATCAGAAAAACTAATTCATTCATATTATGAAACATCGTTTTGTTCACTCCGGCCTTACATGCAAACTCATTTTAGGACTACGAAATGTGAAATATTAGTGTCGACCCGGTGTTGCAGCTAAAATATTGAGCCGATATAAACAAAAGTTCAAATTAATTGCCACCAATGTAAGCATTAAGTACATTGTACCGTTGCAGCAGCAGAGATTTTTTTGTGTCCCTTTTGAGATGTTTTGCCAGCTTTTTTTGATTTAGTAGAAACATTAACAGCTGGGGAAAGATGAGCTTCATCCAAAGATTTTACTGATGAAGTAGCACTAGAAGTGGAAGATTGAGCTGATTCATCCACAGATTTTTCTGATTTATTGCAGCTATCAGTGGAAGAAAGAGTCGATTCATCCACAGATTTCTTCTTAGTTTTTGCAGCAGATCTATTCTTAAGAGCTCTTGTTACATTCCACTTTTTGTTATCAAATTTGTGGCCATTGAGCACTTCCACTGACCACGCTGCATCATCAGCATCCTTAAAGTGGACAAATCCGAAACACCTCGATTTTCCATCTCCATCTTTTGGAATAATAATCTTGGAGATCGTTCCACCAAAACAACTAAAAACATTCCTAAGATCATCCTCAGTTGTGGCTTCTGATAGGTTCCCCACATAGACCTTATTGGGGAAGAAATCTATATTTTCTCCGGCCACGGCTCTTTCTTGCTTGCGAATCGAAGATTTGGTAGGCCGTTGATGAACCGGGTTCGCTCCATCACTGGCGCTCCCAGCTTGTTGAGCCTGAACCTGCACGTGTGCCGTTGAATTCAAATCCTACAAAAACATTGTTGAAATACTTCTTAGAATTTGTGGGGTTTTTTTCTTTTAGCAAGAGCTTTTTTTAGTGTGAGACAATTGATAAACATTATGCACACTTCATTTTCTAAGCATTCCCACTTTATAGCATCATTTCTTAGGGAAAATTGAAAGAATGTTTTCAAATGCCTTCCCTCATTCAGCTTGATCTTCACCATATTTTTCTTATTTTGAATTTCACTCTAACAAACTAGACAGCAAATCACCGAGAGCTTCACCACATTGCAATAAAAATAATACAGAGAACTATTTTTTCTGTGTAACACGTGAAAGCAATTACCTTAATAGTAGTTCCATGTTGCTGTTTGATTGCGTTTGGAGCTTCTCTCAGTTTGATTGCACTCGTACTGCAAGAAGGTAATGGTTCAAGTTTCGTATTCTTGCCATTGTAATCACCAAATTCAGAATGATTGTCATTTATGCATCCACCATCTATGCCTCTGTGGTCACCCTTCTGGTTAAAGAATCCATCATCTATACCCTCACAATTACCTTGTTTAGGTTTAGAAGATTCATGGTTTACACCTTTACGGCCTCCATAGTTGTTATTAAAGTGCTTCTGGTCTTTGCCTCCATGACCTCCACGACTTCCATGGTTGTTTAGAAGTTCATTATTATCCATACTTCCACAGCTAGCATGCTTGTTAGTGGGTTCACCACCTTTGCCTCCTTGATTGTTTTTAAAGCGTCCACCATTTCTGCATCCACGAACTCTACGGGAGGAGTTTCCTTTGGAACCTATCTTGGAGACAGAACTGTTGTTGGAATCTCCAAGCTCTTTCCCAATTCCATCTTCAAAGAGGTTATTATCATCTCTACCTCCACTAGAGGAATCCCCACTGCACCACTCCTTAAAGCCAAAATTGTTGTTGAAATCTCCAAACTCTTCACCTGTTCTATTTGCCTCCATAACCTACACGAGTTATTACTAATTTACAACCATGAACCTTCAATTTATGTTCATCCAACCAATCATAGTTAAGCAATTCATTTAGTCTACATAGAGCACCTTTAGCAAAGGTTAATTGGCCTAAACGCGTGAATCTAGGTTGAATTTTCTGAGTTCGTAAATTACATATCAGCTAAATAAGTCAAAAACTATTTATTTACCTCATTGTGATTATTGATAACCAGAATAAGCTTAAATAGGCTTCCAAACGGGCTCAAAGATCTTCTAACACTAACCACAATATGACCAAATTTCTTAGGAAAACTCCAATATTTTTTCAGCAATCTTTTTTCAAACAGAAGTTCACCATATTCTTTTATTTGATTAATGATCTCCATCACAATTCATGTTCAACAAGTAACTATTCAGAAGCGTAAACACAATTCGGAATCATTAGCCTAAAAATCATGAAGCTTCACTGGAAGTTCATACCTTGGCATTACATTTATATCCCTGGTCTAGTGCATCCCAAGTAGTTTCTTTTGATTCAGTTGCATCAGCTGCGCAAGACCAAACTGATTCATCCTCAAGTTTCTTTGGGTTCGATTGCTCTTCATTACCATTGTACTTCTTTTGCAGTGCGTCCCAAGCTTCTTTAGATTTCTGGGCATTAGCAATGCAAGAGAAAACAGATTTATCTAGAGCTTGCTGGATAAAAAACAAAGCAGTGGCATCCTTCTTCCGCAAGTATAGTAATTCCTCAACAGTAAGCTCTTCTTCATCATAGCCTCCTTCCACCAAATCCCAGAGATCTTGGGACATAAACATAGTCTTCATCATGATGCTCCATATCTCATATCCACTCCCGTTGAACGGAGGAATTCTACTCAACAAGAACCTTGACATTTTTTCCATTTTACACAGCAAAAAAGGTTAACACACATAAACCAAAACTCAATGCAATTACTCTATAACTTTAAGGGTTGGTGGCTAGGTTAAATTTCTTCTAACTTTCTCTATGATTAGGCATTCAAAAGTTCAAAAACTCAAAGCAACAGAGAATTCCTTGCGATTAATAGATGCTGCACTTATGAAATCTGAAATTCCACATGACAAGACCGATAGAAGTTCGGATCATACCCAATATCCGCAGTGTTTACTTTGGTTTCAGCTTCAACTTTTGACCCCCGGTTGAAGAATCTCAACTGCTCTGCGGCTCCGGCTATGTCAGCCATTTCTTGCTCTTTAAACCTGCAACCAATTAGCGATGAACATGGGTGGATATGGATATGATGCCGAGCGCAAAAGAGTTCATTTAATTGTAATGATTGAGTTGCAGGAGTCGATGAACCTTTGATAGTGGTCAGTGTCTGGAGATTTTCAAGCGGAAACAGAGATCCTAATCCCAAGGTGGGTTATATATTTTAGCAGCAATTATTTTGTCCATCGGAGAAACCCTATGCTCTTCTTCATGAAGAGACTTCTCGTATTCACTTTTTCAAAGAGAGGGAGGAAGAAACCCTATTCTCCAAATGGGAATCACAATGGATTGAATTTGAATTGGGTTGAATTTATGCTTTGGATGTTCGACTGAATGTGTTGCTGATCGTTAAAAAAATCTAGTACAAGTAAAATTTATTGCTTACAAGTAATTATTTCATAACTTAAAACTAAAAATTGTACTCCGTGTCCCTTCGGAGACATACGATAAAAAAATTGTACTCCGTATATATACATGTACTAGACACATCTTATTTGTAAAAAAATAAAAGTGATAAATATCCTAGACATGAGAGTATTCGATCCTTGCATAGTGTTAGTTAAGGCGGTACAAGCTGTAAGACCAACCCATTAATCGTGCACTGATTAGTTATTTGAGCGATCCAGTTTGTTGGGCCAGCCGATTAGTTTTTATATAAGGTTTGAGTCTAAATTTTAACCTTAAATTCTCTTATTTATACATCCTCTTAGAGAGGGGAGGAGAACACATTCATTTCACACACATTCATTCACTATCCTAGACCCAAGTTTCCATCAAAAAACAATTTTTGTTATTTTATCTTTTCCCATATAAAAACTAAATCTTTAATATATTAAATTAAACTTTCATACGAGTCTTAAAACATTAATAATATAGAAATTTTTAGTAAGGTACAATAAGATAGTTGAACGAAACAACATCAATAATGTGAGTTTATTTACCATTAAGCCAAATTTAAAAGGAACACGTATATTTTTTATTTTTTTTATTTTTATTTTTTGTTTTCTCATTTCATTTTTTTATATTTTAAATTTTAAATTTTATTTTTTTAAATTTTTATTTTTACTTTTTTTACATAAATAAATAAATATTTATAAAGAAAAATGATACAAATTTTTTTTCCTAATAGAAGCCCAAAAGCTACTCTTCATGACATTTTAGGTATTTGCCTTTTCAAACCAAACACTAAATGAAAAAAGTCAATTGTCAAATAATAATTTTGGTTGTTTGATTAGTCAAAACAAGTCAAAGAAGTCAAAAACCAATTGAAAAGTCATTTTTCAAAAACACCCTTAGACCATTTTCAATGTGGGCGTTTCCGCTACGCCACAACTTCTACATCATCAGCATTCCACTAACTTTTAGCTCCGCCTCAAAATCTTGCAATGTTAGCATCCTAAAAACCCGTCTCTCTATTTTTTATATTATTCATCATTTTTAATTTAATTTTTTTGACATAATACATATAATTAAAATAAAAATGCTAATATTGATACTCTTTATTAAAAACAACATCAAAATAAAAAAATGAAATACACCAAAATATAATTAATTTAAAAAAAACAAACGAAAAAACATTGAAATAAAAGACGAAATAAATGAAAATTAGTGTTACAATAAAGTATTGTTGGACCTCCAAATTTCTTTGGTCAAATCATCTTGGAGGGTAGCACGATTTTGTTCATCTCGCAAACATGCACTCCAATCTATAAAATTTTGTAATTCGAGAGGTGACCCCTAAGTCATTAGACCTTGGCAAACGGTGGTCCTGGAAGTGCATGCGACCCCCCTATAAATAAAATGAGTGATGTTGGCTCCCTCGTCTTCAACTATCATTTTATGCAATACAATACATGCAAACATGATGTCTGAGATGAACGATTGGTACCAAGGTGTGTGGGGCCTTACAGCATCGCCCATCGAGATTGGAGCACTCGGAAGGCATGTTCCACATCTTCCCGTGTCGACTTTTGTTTCTGTTCGAACAATTCCCTCTTTGGATTTGTCAGATACATTATTGTTTTCACAAACACTGGCCAACGTGGATAGATCCCATCCACCAAATAATATGTGCAAATTTTGGTTACTCATATTCTAAGGACCTGTTCTTTAGGACTGGAAAAAAAGAGCTGGATGTGAGAAGAAATTGGAAGGAACTGGAAGAAACTGGAAGAAATTGAAAGAACTGGAAGAAACTGGAAGAAATGGAAGAACTGGAAGAAACTGGAAGAAATTGGAAAAACTAAAAAAAAAACTTTAAAAAAAATTTATGTGTGGTTTTATATTATTCTCATTCTGATTCCTTTTGTTATAAATTATTATTATTATTATTATTATTATTATTATTATTATTATTATTATTATTATTATTCTCGTTGTTGGTGGTGGTGGTGGTGGTAGTGGTGGTGTTATCATGTTATTTTAATGATTGTCTTTAAGATAAAAAAATATTACGAGTATTATTTTTCATGTATAAAAAGCTAGTTTAAAAAAATAATTAGAATATAAAATTAACATAAATATTACACTTCTTTGGGTCATTTTTTTCTTTTTCAAAATGTAGTTTTCTCTTGGTTTTCATAATATTATTGTTCCAGGCCCTTAAACGTAATTTACCTTATATAAATTTAGATTAAAAAATATTCTATATAACTATTTATCCATAATTTTTTAAATAATTTCCTAATTTTTCATGTAGATTAATATACAAAAAAATGGTACTCCCTCCGTTCCACTCTCTTTGTCCACTTACCTTTTGGCACACCATCCAATGTACTTCTTTAATCCATTTTATCTTATAATTTGTATATTAAAAAATTATAGAAATTATATATTAATAATTTATATGTTAAGACAAATCAAACAAGATCACACATGACTATATTTAGGCTTACTCTTTGAGAGAATTTGATGAGTCAAAGTGCTTAGATGAACAGTTCCAAAAGTCAATAGTGGACAAAGAGAGTAGAACGGAGGTAGTATTATTCATATTAAAAAGTTGAAAAAACTGGAAGAATGAATGTGAATCATACAAATAGTGAGATGAAAAAATGAAATAATTTATAAACTATAGTTATGAACATAAAAGTTGTAATTAAAAAAAGTTGTAATAATAATAATAATAATATATTTTTTAGTGTGAGTTGTCAGAAAGTAGAAAGAATTTGAAGAAAATAAATATAGTTGGAAGAAATTAGAAGAAAGTCAAGAAAGTGGAAAAAATTAGAAGAAACTGGAAGGAACTAGAAAAAATTGGAAGAACAGAAAGAAACTGGAAAGAACTGGAAGGAACTGAAAATTAAGAATTCAAACTCTAAAGAACATGCTTTAAGTAGTGTACATGAACTCTTTTTGTATCTCTTTTAGCATCAAGTTACACCTCCTTCATGAGAGACTCATGAATCATGTTCCCCAACATATTTTTCAAACTAAAAAACATAAATTTGAAGGAAAACATAAATCATTGTAAAAGGATGTCTACTTTTTAATACTCCCTCCGTCCCATAAAGTGTTACCCATTTTGATTAAAATCGAAATTAAGAGAGAGATAATTTTGTGTTGACTTTCCAAAAATATTCTTGATGTGATGGGTAAAAGTAGGATGTGATGTGTAGATTATTAGGAAAAAGGTATGATGTGATAGGTAGGGTTTGAAAAAGTAAGGGGTAAAAGTGGTTTTTTAATAGAAATGGGTAAGGGATTGTGGGACACAATTTTTCTGAAACGTGTAAGTCTTTTTGGAACGGAGGGAGTATAAAATAGGTCTAACATGTTTTTTTTTAACATTTTCGATACCAAAAAAACATCGAATTTGAAAGACACATTGGTCACGAGTATATTTCGGGCTTATTCTTTAGGATTGAAAAAAGTTTATGATGAAAAAAATACTACCTCCGTCCCGTGAAACATGGGACATTTGCTTTTTAGGAGGGATTTAAGGGAGTGTATTTTGGTATTGAATTTCCAAAAATGTCCTTTGATGTGATGGGTAAAAGTATGATTTGATGGGTAGATTATTAGTAAAAAGGTATGATGTGATAGTTGGGGTATGAAAAAGTAAGGGGTAAAAGTGACTTTTTAATAGAAATGAGAAGTGTTTTGTGGGACGGATAAAAAAAGAAAGGGGAAATGTTTCACGGGACGGAGGTAGCATGAGGAAACTGGAGAAACTAGAAAAAAATGAAAAAAATTTAAAAAAAACCCGGAAGAAACTAGAAGAAGAATTAAATGAAATTAGAAAAATTAGACAAATTGAAAAATCTAAAAAAACTTTAAAAAGTTGTCATTATTATTAATTTATTGTTATAATTTATTATTATTGGTACTATTAGTATTATTATAAAATTTAAATCACATTATTTTAATTAATGTCTTTAAAACAAAAAAAATTATCACTTTTTATACACAAAAAAATCTACTTTGGCAAATTCAAGTTATTAACCCAGTCTTCTTCTGCTGACAAGAGTGGAAGCCGCTTCTTCCTCGTTGGTTCATCGCCGCCAGTACCTATCATCGCCGCCATCATCCCCGTCGTCCTTCTTCTCCTTCCTGGTGCATCGTAAATCAGGCGAGAGAGCAGAGGCAACGGCGATTCTGCACGCAAGATTCTACCTCGTCAATTGGATCGAGGTGGGTGTGGTTTAGAATTGATTCCTAGATTAGGGTTCGTTCAATATACTTTGAATTTGTGAATTTCTGAAGGCTGTAAACGGATAACCGAAAATTCGATTACCGTCCGCATCCGTATCCGTTTATATGGAAAATATCCGCATCCGTTAAAAGCGGTTATTATCCGTATCCGATTAAGGATATTCGATTGCTAAACGGATACGGATTTGGTAATCATACATCCGATCCGTTTATAATCCGCTCCGCATTGACATCCGTTTAAATACCCGTTTATCCGTATATCCGATCCGTTATATATAGTCTTTCCTAATTTTTTATTTTTACATTTTGTTTCTCTATAGATATCTCAANTTTAGTTTAATTGAAAATTCAAGTATTGTTTAATTTAGTTTTAAAAATTGGAAACGGATACGGATATATCCGATATCCGACGGATGCGGATACGGTTTTGATTTTTCAATATCCGTCTAGATCCGTATCCGAATTCGATATCCGACAAAAATAAACGGATGCGGATTTGGTAATGGCACATCCGATCCGATTAAAATCCGTTTACACCCCTAGAATTTCATTATTGGATTGTTGTGATTATTCGATGGTTAAATTGATTATGTTGAATATAGGATTTCGGAAATTGGAAATAGAATTGGATTTGGTAATTCTGATTATAGCTTCTGTTTGGGGCTGTTCCGTTTTCTACTCTTAGGTTCTGCTCTTTATGCGTTCTTCCTTGCTCTGTTTAGTCCTTTTCTCTTTCTTCTCTCTCTGTTCTCCTCTCAGACTTTCTGCTCGCCAGCCGTCCCTGCCGTCAGGACGCTGCCACCTCAATTTGAGGGGGGTCAATTGTGTCAAGGGATTGCTACCGGTCGCGCCACTGTACATCGCCTCTGCCGCGCCACTGTACATCGCCTCTGCCGCGCCACTGTACATCGCCTCTGCCATCTCTTTCTTTCAGTCTTTCGCATTCTTGCGACTCCCAGGCTGCAGACCTAATCGTCGGTGCCAATCAAAAGAAGCTTCACGTAACCCTAATTTCTGGCGCCATTCCTTCAAACAGATTGCAGCTTTGCATCATCTCAGGTTGAATTTTGCATCCGTTGTTGTTGTCTTGCCTTTGTGTTTTTTACTGTGTTATAGAACTGAATTTTAGGAAAAGTTTTCTCTTAAAAGCCATGGATTCTTGCTCTGGTATCTCTTTTCTCTTAGAATATCAGTAACCAAACTTTGCAAATTTGCTTTACACACAAATCGTGCTTAGAGATTTACACGAATTTGATGCCAATCATACGCAGACATTGAAATTGAATTACTCACTTACACCACTCACCGGCAGTTCGTCTATGAAATTTCTCAAAAATGCAATCTTTAACAATAAAATAGGGAAAAAAATAAATGTGTCTGTATTGAGATTGCAACCATCCATGTTTGGGTAACCCTACATTTGACACCACCTTTGATATCATAATATTTCATATTGAGATAACAACCATGTGGGGGGAACCACACATTTGACACCACCTTTGATATCATTGTGTCTCATAGACACACCGAGATAGTTCCACGGTGTCTCTGAGACACTATGGTATCAAGGGTGGTGTCAAATGTGGGGATTCCTAGATCTTTTGTTGAGATAATAAGGGATGAAAAAGAAAAGGGTTTTTTGGTTTTAACTAAACCAGACTTGAAACATCTTGGACCAACCCGGACCACATTGGAGTCAATCAGATCCGGTTTCAGTCTGCCACTCTGTAAGATTCTGGTTTCCTGGTTCCAGTCCATTCCAGTCCGGTTTTGGATGGTGTGCACCCCTAAATTATGAGCTATGCTCTATGTAAAGATATTTATACCATAATTCAAATTTTAAATGGTGCAGACAAATTTAGTTTGTATAGTACGAATAAGATTTATCTGTGTAATTGAAAATTTACACTTGCCAATTTTTTTACAAATCATTTTAATGAAAAAATTAATCATTTCTAGTTGCATAACATGGGATTGTAGGGAACATACTAGAAAGAGTCATGCTACTTTAATGCCATTTTTTACATCACTTCTCACACCATGTTCAAAATTTGAAATTTTTTGCATAGTTCAAAAAAGAAGTTGTTGTAAGAAGTGACGCATATGTATACTCCCTTCATCTTACAACTAATTTGACGGGTTAACTTCATTAAATTTATGTTAAGTAAAAATTTGTGTTTAAAATTTATTTAGGAAAGAGAAATTTTAAGAGCGTAATATGCCAGTAATTAAAAAAAAAAATAAGTTAAGTGTGGAGTATAAAATTTATTTTTGAATTAACAAAAAAAAGAAATTTTAAAATTAATTGCGGAACAAAATGAATATTTTATGGTAGCTCAATGCTGGGAAAAATGAGTATAAAGTGAGACAAGTTTGAAGCATGTGCCCAAGCTCTTTTTTTGTAACTTCATCTGTTCCTATGTAATCTTTCAATTTTGAATGTTTAAACTAAGTTTTTTTTCAATTTAATCTACTTGTGTAAAATTAAGAAATACTCCATAAAATGTTTATTTATATATATGTGTGTGTGTGTGTGTGTGTGTCTATATATATATATATTCTAAAACATCACAATCTTTATGCAATTTTTTTTATGTTTACTATTTAATTTCAACAAATGAATAAATATAGAGTATATTTGTGTGACCCAATTTCTCCCTTTACCTCATTGCAGACTAGGGCTCGTAGAAAGGAAAAAAAACTAGAGATCGACACAGGGAGAAAATACAGGAGCTCATGTAGGGTTTTGATTTTTTTCTTTCCTTTCTTCCTCAAAATTCCTTCCATTGTATGAAGTCCCCAGATTCTTAGAATTTGTCCCAGGGTTCTTATTAGCAAGTTTTTTACAGTTTGTCAGTGCAATATTTATGTGGATCGATAGCTACTGGCGAGCTCCTCCTCAAGCTCGTCAAAATCTGCCATGACTTTGTTATCAAAACCTCCGTTTTTTCTCATTGCATTCTCCCTTTACATAGTTGTGCTCTGTTCGCCAACGCCAACAGCCGACCTTGGTGAGTCGAGCAACAACCCACCCCTCTGGCCGTCCAATCGAGACAACAATGCCATTTTCCATATTCAGGATTCTCAGGTTGCCTGTCCAATCAACTGTTTCCGACCTGACCCGGTTTGTGGTGTCAATGGTGTGACCTATTGGTGCGGTTGTGCGGATGCACATTGCGATGGCGTGGAGGTGGCGATGTTTGGGTTTTGTGACGTGGTGAATGGCAAATCAGGTCCCATCTCGAGTCAGGCCTTTTTGCTGGTCCACATTATTTGGCTCATTGTACTTGGGATTTTCGTGCTCCTTGGGCTTCTCTGATGCAATGAGGTTTTCCATTCTTTTGCGTTTTCAATTTACTGATTCACCACTTTACCTTTCACATGAGACCGTAGACTTTTGCACATCATTGATTCATCTGTATATGTTTCTATTCTTTGTAAAAAAAGGTATTATTTTCCACATCTGGCTTCTAGATTCATAGATAATTTCTTGTCTTACTCTTGACTTGCGACTGAATCTGATCTTGTTGGATTCAACAACTGACTTTTTGTTCTCTAGTTTGAATTTGTCTATTGGCTGTGAGTTCTTTCTTGTGTTTAAATATTAATTTTGATTTTTCATAATTTTAGGTTTATTCTCCACATTAGAGAACAATGAACCAGGCGGTGCAGAAGAACACTTTGTACGTAGGTACGTTACTCCTTTCCGGTAGATTGTACTCCCTGTCTCCCTCCATCCCAAATTAAATGTCCACTTTGACCGGAGATGGAATTAAGAAAATTATTAAAAAATGAAAGATGTGTGGTTGAAATTGATTTAAAAGAGAAAAGAAATGGCCTTTTATTTTGGGACATAAGAAAAGAGAAAGTGCGTTGCTTATTTTGGGAAGGGGACTATATGTATTGGTTTGAACACTGTACAACCATACATTTCTGCTTGTTAGGTGGATTGGCAGAGGAAGTGAATGAGGGGATCCTGCATGCTGCTTTCATACCATTTGGAGACATCAAGGATGTGAAGACGCCTTTGGACCAGGCAACACAGAAGCACCGATCTTTTGGATTTGTCACTTTTCTGGAGAGGGAGGATGCAGCCTCTGCCATGGATAATATGGACGGCGCAGAGCTCTATGGCCGAGTCCTCACAGTCAATTACGCTCTCCCCGAGCGCATCAAGGGTGGTGAACAGGGCTGGGCTGCCCAACCTAGTAAGCATCCACAACCATTGCTCTTTTCTATTTCTCCTAGTTACAAGTATATCTTTTTAATTATCTTTAAATGAAGTTTCATTAGTAAATGTAACCATGGAACGTGGTGATAGCTAGTATGTGGCGCATGGCCTTCCTCTTTAGATGTTGTTTGATGGAGTTATCTAAATGTTCAGACTTCAGAGTTTTGTTGGTCATTGAGTTGCTTTAGAGGGGATATTTCAAAGTTAAAATAAGCTGCTTTGGGAACTAGCTGGATTTCAGAGGCCTTTTTAGTGATGACCAATATCTAATATGGCTCATTGTAGATCAATTGCACTTTTAAAATTTTTCTGGCCGATTCAAGGAAACCAAAGAAAAGTTAAATGGGTCGTGCTATAGTCACACCACGGGTGACACCAATCATGGGTGGGTGACACAGTTACACTATGTTTGGTTCAAGCAATTTGGGAAGGAAAAGAAAAGATAATAGTTTTCTCTCATTTTCCTCACCAAACTGGGAAGAATTTGGTTTTCCTTTCTCTTAGTACATTTTGTCTTCTCATTTTCTTTCCCTTTCATTCTTCTTTTTTTCCTCCCTAACCAAACAAGAAAAAATGTTTTCTATCTCATTTTCTTTTCTTTTTCCTTTCAAATTCCTTAAACCAAACATAGTGTCAGTGCACACACTGTGATTGTCTTTGATGGTGTCAGCCTTGATGTCATCATTGAGGTTGAAATAGCATCTTCCAAGTTAGTATACTGAATACCCCTTAGAAGCATATAGGAGATCCTATCTTTGAGAAAGCTTGTAATCTGTGGTTACCCACCATGCAAGATTTCCTGCCTTGATGTGCTGCTCTTATTGTAACCTGATGTGGTGTCCGGGGTGGATGTGGGGGTAGTATTTTTTATTTGCCTCTGGGAAATAGATTACTTTTCTCATATCTCATGGTTAGCATTGTTATAGGAAATTAGTTGCCTCATCTATAAAGTAATGGGACAGGATCCAAAGCAAGTTACACAAGGAATTAACTCTTCACTTTTATTTCTAGGAATATTTCTTTTATCCTGGTGTGGTTTTTGGCTTCATTTGTTTACAATTTAATGAAATCCTAACCCAAAACCACTTCGGCAAAATAAAAACTATACCATGTCTTTTTCCACAAAATGGAGTTGGCTATCACAAGGGTAACCCACTTATCACAAACATTAAAAACTTACTGATCATGTGAGACTGACTGAGGAGTGGTTGATGAGTTGATGTTTGGTGATTGATTCATTGGTGATGGTTTTGCAATCTTGATTGCTTTTGATTTTACTTTTACTCAAGCATGCTAATGAAGATGTTTGATTCATAGGCATAAAGGTTGTTTACTTTTGAATATGGTTTTTTAATCTTGCACGTCTGTATTTGAGCCTTGGAAAAAACCTCTCTACTCCCAAGTAGGGTAAGGTCTGCATACACTCACCCTCTCCAGATCCTACTTTTTGTGGGATTCTATTGGATTTGTTGGTGTGTGTGGGGAAGTTCTTAATTATACATTAACTAATTAATATGCTATGATGACTTCAGTTTGGGCGGATGCGGACACATGGTTTGAGAGACAACAACAAGAGGAGGAAATGCAGAAACTCCAAGCAGAGAACATGGCTGAAATGAAGGCTGCAGAGGAATTACATCGGAAAAAAATGGCAGAGGAGAGGGAAGGTGAGAAGGAGGATGGAGATGTTGTCAATGATGATCCGATGGCACAAGCTGAAGCAGAGGTTTTAAAAGACAATGCATTGGGCTCTTCTTAGTCGCTACGCAATTGCGCTACCAAATTTTGTTTTCAGATATTGTTATGTTTAGGGTTTGTGAAAAAGATTCTAGTGTGGTTAGATCTAATGCCGATTAGAGTCTTGTGTGTTCGACATTGATCCTTGTGTGGGCATTCATGTGGTGCCATGTCAAGGGCTTGGGTCTAGGGTTACCCTCCAAATGTGAGGATACCAAGTGTGAAAGCCAAAGAAAAGAGAAAAAATTGTAGTTTAACACTATCTCCCTCCTCTGGTTTCCCATCTCTGCATATGAATTGGCCTGGCCATTGAAAGCATTACTTGCATGACTTCATATTACATTCATTTTGTTGCTAGTCTCCATGTTCTTCTATTCTCTTGTCTACTTTCCTTCTCACAGTTGTGATCAAAGTACCACAAATAAGATAACGGTTGACTGTTCATGCATGTAAAACACATGGTGTCAAACTTTGACACGGTTGACTGTTCATGCATGTAAAACACATGGTGTCAAACTTTGACACTGAACTTGGTGTGACTATAGCATGGTCTTGAAGTTTTAGTCTTATAGATCTGTGATTCTATTCGTTTTGAAGTTGGATCCCGATTCATGTGCCCCCTTCATTCAAAAATGTCTTTTGAGTATGCATTGATATATCATTGGCCAAGTACAGTCATGCCATGGATGACACTAATGTTTACACTGCTAGGCAATGACTTTCTCACGAGCGTGATTGTCAACCCTGGTTAAAGCAGCATGTTTATGGTTTCAATTTGTTCTTAATAATTTACTCTTGTTCTGGAATGATTTGGAAGTTATTTGAAATGAAACAGAAAAGGGAGAACTTTGGTTCTTTGAAATGTCACAGATTGTCTCGTTTGTGGGATACACATAACTCGAATCCCTTGTTTTCTCTTTTTAGCATAACCTAATATATTAACATTTCTCAAGTCCATAAGCACGTGTGCATATGAATCAACCGGACTAAGACAATAAGAGCTTGCTATTTTCAACTTATTACTTATTCTTATTACAATTAAATTAGATCAGAAATAATTCTAAATATAATTACATTCAAATTATAGTAGATCAGATCATAATTTATTATAATTAAATCAAAACAAATTAGATTAGGTGAAGAAAGCAAGTTTTAAGACACATACCAAATTACCAACCCACTTTTACTCTACATTAGTTTTAACTCTATGGGCAGAGCCAGGTGCTCTTATTTTACGACGAATTAAATTTATAATTGTTCAGATATGAATGTAAAATGGAATTTGTCCATGGTACGTGTAAAAGCTTCATGCAACATATGGTTGGTTTTTATTGTTGTCCAAAGTTTTGTACATTAAAGTTTTGTACATTGTCTCTTATGGTATCTCTTTTGACATGTAAGCTACACCCCTTCATGAGAGACTCATCAATCATGTTTCCCAACATATTTTTGATACTAAAAACATTAAATTTTAAGGACAATATATTTCATTGTAAAAGGATGTCAATTTTTTTCAATATAAAATAGGTCTAAAGTGTTCTTTAATTTTTTATTTTTAAAAATAAAGTATGTCAAACTCATATAACCTAAATGTCGTTTAAAATATCAAAACACATTAGTCACAAGTAATTGTACTTCGTATTAGGTATTACCAAGTAATTTATAAAGACTAAAAAGTGGTACAACTTTATCAACAAAAAAAGTGGTACAACTATAAGAACTACTTTCTGAATATTTATCTAGTTTTGACTTTTTCAAGTCCAGTGTTTTCAACCTTTGACCTATAATTTAATAAAATATATATCGTATATTAATGAGTTAAAATAATATTTTAAAAATATTTGATATAATAAATCTAATAAAACTATTTTTTTATTAATATCTAATACTCCATTTTTATTTAATTTGTAATCAAATTTTACCATTTTTTATCTAAAAAAGTCAAAAGTAAACTCATGGACAGAGAAAGTATACTTCTTTTTTATCCTTTCACTTTTAGTATAATTTGCTTGACTAAGCTGCTTTTAGTATAATTTCGGTATTGAAATCTTAAATTTCTTTCATTTGCTTGACTAAGCTGCTTTTAGTATAATTTTGGATTAAAAAAACTTAAATTTTAGCTTATTTTTTATTTTGAACGCTTCGAACTCCATAGTCAAAATACACTGTACACGTTTTTTTTCTGTTTAATGCATTTAATCAAAATATATCAAAATCAAAGAAGTCAAAAGCAAGAATTATAACAGCATTAGCAGGAATGGTGTAAAAAACTCTTTACACTTGTTGCCTTGTTGGGACCCGAGAGGATCATGATATGACCCGGTCCAATTGACAACAACGGATCCAGTGAAATCACACAAGAAATAGAGTCTCGAGAGGTATGCACGCGGACCTCACCCCTACCTGGAGAGACATTTCAAGAGACCCGGGCTCAAGCGAGACCCAAATCGACCGAATGGGACGAAAATGAATACAATGCGAACACATATTCTCCTATCTTACAAATGGACATGCAACAAGTACACAACAGGATTTTAGTTGATGAGTTGTGTTTCCGTGATCCTAAGGCCACATGTGAAATGTTGACTTTCTCACGCTTTGTATGGGCTTACAAGTTGATCTTTTCTGTTTTGCAAAAAGCCCAACTCTATCATAGTGATTATGTACTAAGGTTCGTTGACCGTTGATCGAGGACCACATAAGACTTTGCCTTAACTGAATAAAAAAACGTACGTTCGAAATTGATTCGACCTACAGTCGTAAAATAGTTCTCAGTGTGTCACAAAGGTTTTGAATGGTCTGCTGTTCTTGTGTAGCTTGCATTTCTTGGAGAGGCATCTCTTCATAGCACCTGAGATTATTATGAGAGTTCAAGGGATCAGTAATTTTGAAACTAACAAAAAAATAAGGGGGAAGGGGAAAAAATTTTGCTCTATGGTTTGAAAATGTTTTCCCGATTTTCTTGTGTTTGGATGCAGAAAACCTTTTCCTGGAAGAACATTTTCCCCAGGTCCTTTGCATCCAAAAGGGAAATTTACTCTCCTCAACCTCTTGGATCATTTCTTCTATGGCAAAACACTAACACTACGTTTGGTTCAAGGAATTTGGAAGGAAAGAAAAGAAAAATATTCTCTCTCTTTCCTCGCCAAAATGTAAGAAATTCGGTTTTCTCTCTTAGTATATTTTGCTTTATTATTTTTTTTCCTTCCAATATTCAAACGAGAGAAATGTTTTCTTTCTCATTTTGTTTTTCCTTTTCTCTAAAATTCCTTGAACCAAACATTGTGTAAAGCATACAATTTCCGTGAAACGCTAAGTAAATGAGTCAAAGGTCATTCATACATCCTGTGATAGGCCAATGCCTGTGTGAGATTCATTAGCGAAGGACTGGAGGTTAATCTCCTGTATAAACTCGGAGGAAGTGGAACCTGTGACCAATTATGTAATGTCATTACTCATTAGGAAGCTGACAATGACGGTAAGACAGGGAGGAAAGAAAGAAACAAAGAAATAAAGAACCTCATTTTGTCTAGTTCGGCCCTTCCTTAACTGAGCATCACCAGTTAAGAGTTCCTGAACTGCATCCACGCCTATGTTCCCACTAGCATCTCGTTGCCAACCACCGAGCACATTTTCAGACAACAGTGCAACAGGTGAAATATCAGTTGCCCTCAGAAAGGGAATTGGTACTGTGTTACCAGCAGAGTATATTGACCAGAGCTAGCGGCACAAACAAAGTAATATAAGCATGATGAAACAGTCCCAAGCAAATGCAAAATTACAAAGGGTGGGGGGGGGAGTACCTTATCCATAGCTTTCCTATTGACTGTTTCATTCTTCACTGGACCTCCGCTTTGCGTGAAGTTTCCTTTCAGATCATGATCAGGGGAAGGAATGATTGCGGGCGGACTTGTTTGAACGTGTATATGTTGAGGTGTCCCTATAGGGGAGCTAACATTAACCTCGTTTTGCGTCCTGGTTTGATCAATTATTCACATTAGATAAATTGTCCACCTCCACCTTCCTTTTACACTTAATATCTCATTATTTCAATTAGGGGGGACCTTTGATACCAGTAATGTGTTACTTCCTTCATATTAAACAATTTTTCAGAATAGTCATGAGATTCAAATAGTAGCGGGCTAGTGGCTGATTAAATTAAGGTTATATTTTCTGCATGGGCATAAATATAGATGCTGGACCATAAAATATTTGGTGGTAAGCTTTATCGGACTATACAAACCACCCCTTTTAGTGGGTAGCATCAATGAAAAGAGAAACTACCAAGGTTCAGGTTCTTCACGACCAGGGGTACAAGCACTTTCACCATTCCTGAGAGTAGCCGATGGCTCAGAATTTGTATGTGGAGTGTGAGTAGCTGTCTTATGTATGTCAACTCCATCTCGGATTATCATGGTTCCAAACTCACCTGATAAAAGAGCCCCACGGACCAAAAAAAGATTTATTTTTACTCAGAAAAATATGTATTTCCAAGAAGGTAGAACAAGCTTCTAGAGTAAACTTGCTTGCAAGATCAAAAGTTTGGCATAAAGGACAGAAAACATTTCATTACAAATCAGCCAAGAAGCCAGAGATCAGCTTGGTGATATATCCATAATGTTTGACTGCATTAACCTAGGGGTCAAATCTTTAACAATAAGAGATGCCATATAAAACAGAATGATGTTTTTTACCATCTCCAGTAGGCTCCACCAAGCTTTGAGAACCGGTTGCAGGTGACACTCCATAACCAACATTAGCTTTAGAGGGAACAGTATCACCGAATTCTTCATTTATTTTTATGCCACCTAATACCTGCAGTAGCACAAAAATGGCAGGAAATCTTAAGGGATGGAAGCATCCACTTTGCCTTTTTGGAGGGAAAATGATTGCTCAGTATTTTATATATATATATATATATATATATATATATATATATATATATATATATATATATATATATATATATAGAGAGAGAGAGAGAGAGAGAGAGAGAGAGAGAGAGAGAAGATGCATCATGCATATATGAGCCAAGAATTGAGGCAAAATTTAATCCATACATCTGAGCCTGGTAAAGGGGGTTCTTGAACAATATTTTGTGCTTCCAAAGCCATTGACGACCGTATTTTCTTCGCCTGCTCAATCTTGGAAACCATAACAGATGCTCTAGTTTTGCATTTCTCGATAAATTTGTGCTTTGAAAAAGAAATAAAAAAAAAAGAATAAGGTTACATAAAATCAACTCAAAAATTATTGAAGTATACTGCATAGCTAGATGCATGTTTACAGCTTCATCCTACAATTTAGAACTCTGAGTACTTAAATTGCTCTACAAGATTCCGCATGTTTCTTTTCTAGTTGAATACACTCGTGGAGCTTTGAAGGCACAAGTGCCATAGTAGCTTTTGCAAATCCTGAATCATGTCCATTAATGTACATACAGTCACCTAATGATTGGCCCAGTGTTTTGGTGGTTGGTCTTCATCCTGGGTTGTGGGGAGCTAAATCAAGTTCTCTTTAATCAACCCAGTAATGCAATTTACTTTTAACAATCTAGTGAGTACCAAATCTGGGCAACAGAATGATGTATCATCGATAAAAGAGTAAGATATAGTCTTTGTCTATTAAAACAATAGTGTACCTTAAGCATCTCTGCTGCAGTTGGACGAAGACGGGGGTCCTTAGTGAGGCACTTTGCAATAAAGTCATGAAACACAAGAGACCTGAAGTGATATACAGATGTATAAAATAAACTTACACGTTACTACTTATTTATCTTCCATATTGAAGTGAACTCATTCAGGATTTCACATAAACTTCAAATTATGAGATGTGAAAGTATGTACGTAGGAGAAAAAAGATTATGACCATAGTCGAGTAGCAAATGTGAGCCAATTATCATCCACGCTGAATCTCATAATTCATCTATGAATAAAAAAGAAAATATTGAAAACGACGCCCACTATTGTAGTATTGAACTGTATCTATAGATCATACAAAGGCAAAATCAATCACCAATTTAAAGGCTAGATTCCCAAATTTTCATGTTTCCTTCTCTTCTTATGCTGATGCTCTAGCCCATAAATTCAAACCCATCCTTATTTCTTACACAAATGCACACGCTTTAACTATCAGTATTCATTTTACAATGTTTTTAAGAAGTATAATGCAAACACGCTAAGCCACAAGTTATGTATAAGCTCTAAATGCATATTCACAATGAAAATTTGATATATTTATAAGCACAGGCCAACCTAGCTTTTTAAGAGTTGAAAAGATGCTACGCTTCATTTTGAAATGGCCCAGTGCAGTTGAGAAAAAATGTACAATGCATGTGCTATTTTGAAAAGGCGTGTGTAGCATGTATGAAGAGTAGGAAATGGGAAATGCATAGGAAGAAACAAAAGGAAAGAACAAACTCTAAAGCAACCTAGTCTCCTCGGAGCTTCTAAGCTTTGTTTGAAGCAAAGTATCACTTACAGAAACTAAAAGTCTAAATCCATATAGCACTAAGGACACTGTAAATACTTTCTCTAAGATAACATGAAATTGTGCACTGCAAATAGAAAATATTAAAATCTAGATCCAAAAAAAATTTTGTAGGATGTATAGGAAAAACTCAATTCTATAGTAAAATACAACTTCAAGTGTTGCACCAGGGATCAAAGTGCTAATCTAAAGAATCACGAAAAATACCATTTCTCTTTATCCTCAAGCATTGGGGCTGGTTCAATTGATATCATAAATAGTACCTGCCAAAATGTAAAATTGCATGAAGTCTCTGAAGGGCATTGCTTAAAATTGCAAATAAAGAAAGAGATTCATGCATCAGTTTTAGAGTCACAGATTAGATGCATAGAAGTGCAAGAATGAAATGTGAATTGACCAGGCATGTAAATCTATGTTCTATATACATGCTATAGTTATTTAAAATTCATTATTAATCTCTTTGTAATTTGTATCTTCCCCCAATCTTCGTTGCACACTCAATAACATTAGGACCAGAAACAATGGGCTGCAAACGTAGTCGTGCTCCGAAAAGTGTTGTCATTAACATTTAATTACTATGGAGGTCTGTGTACACAGTCTACACACACCCTCCCCAGACCCTACTCTTATGGGATCCAACTGGGTTGTTGTTGTATTAGTGTATTACAGAGTATCATGGTAACTAGTAAGATGCAGCATATTCTGCTTCACAACGTGAAGCTCTACTTATAAGGAGGGAAGCTGCCCCAGAACAGATTGCGGAGTCTCACGCCGAGGAACATGTGGACGTTGTGGAGGACTGTTCGGTCGAGGAGGCTGAACCACTGCATGACAGTGAAGGCTTCCAGTTCAATCTTGGACAGAGGGGGAAACCATGTTACGTGAGAAGAACGTACGATGCAAATTCGACCCAAGCGCCAAGGATGAGCCTTTCAAAGACTGATGGGTTTGATGTGGCCCCTTGAATGCAAGTGGATACTTGGTGTCTTGGTTACGAGAGTTAAATGCTCATTGTTACCTTAATTGAAATTGTTGTCTTTGTGTTTTTTTGTGTGCTGATGGGCCTTTGAGCCATTGTATACTGTTGATTGTTAGGGGTATGCCCTGATACTTTGCACTCGTACATTGTACAGACCTGGGTTTTCCAATGCTATTATTTACATTTCACCCCCAAAAAATATAAGGAATAACATATAAGAGTGCGCTGAAACCTATTGGAGACCTGACAAGTGACAAGTAGTCGAAAGGGATTAAGAAACCACAAGTCAAAGGCAAATAATAAAATCTTGATTTTTAAATAACCCTTTGTTATTAAGCTGTAGTAGATAGATCCTTTTATTGGAACATTGATAGGCTCATGGCAACTTATAATATTAAAAAATGCTTAGTGATTCATTTAACCATTGAGCAATGAGTAGTGGGACATCTAAAATCAGGCAAAGACTACATGCTACACCATGAATTTTTTAGAGTAATAAGTTTTCATTGAAAGGGGCATAACATATTAGCAGCACCGTTATTACTATTTCAATACATAAAGAGAATGACAATCATTCAAAGGAAATGTTCTCACAAAAGTTCAGAATTAAAGACTAACCCTCATAGGATGCACTGTTGCTCTTGGAGGAAGACCCTGCAAATTACAATAGCATAACAGTAGGTCAGCATCTGTAAAGTATAACAATTCACCTAAACGTTCATTATTTAAGACAGCAAAAAGTAGAAGTAATGTTGGAACGCCCATAAGATAGAAATGATGTAATCCCCCCCCCACCCCACCCCAAAAAACAACCACATCCCATATACTAAGATAAAGCTTATTTTCTCATTGCCAGCAAATGATTTAAAATGCAGGCAAGTGTACAATGAAATTTGACAAAAGTGTAATAGAGTGCAATAGACTTATAGACCCACCTCTGCCATTTCAATTGCAGATACACCAAGAGCCCATACATCCACCTAAAAGAAAATAGGATACATCAGTCAGAAAACGGAGTACAAAACACTAGTGTACACAAAGTCACAAATAATTACAAAAATATACCTTTCCATCATAGCGACTTTCTTGAATAACTTCAGGAGCCATCCAATGTGGAGTTCCGATGAACTAAACACGGTTACAAAAAAGTCATAGTGCATAGCTTAAACATGAGTTCCTTTTATTTCACAGAAATCCTTAATTTTAGTATCATGCCTTCATGCAGGAAACTTAAAAAGAGAGCAAGGGACCTAGAACAGATCATATTTTCATGCAGGATACCAGGATGAGCTTGTAAATAAAGCAAGGAAGATAATGCACTATGTACAAGAGAAGGCAACTTCGACTTCATCTGATTTTAAATGAAGACTAAGAAAGAAACATGTGAAACCGGGTCTTCATCTAGAAATAGTAACTTCTATGATTGCTGAAAATCTGCAAGGTCCAGCTATTATATTAAAACAGCACCTACCCCTGCCTCCCACTGCATTGATTTTTCTTGGTATCTATCTTGTTATTTTAGGCTTCCATATTAAGGTTTTTAAGGAGGTAAAAACTACCCATATAAGGATGAGCATACAAATGGGGGAGTGTTGTAAAGTTGTCCAGATGACTGGTGAGAATTGTCCATCGTTGTAACCTCAATAGGGGTAGATTTTACATCATTGTCATCAAAATGACGAGATGGCTTTCTCTAATATTGTCAACAAATACATTGACTCGTACATGTGATCATATCCACAACAAGCCATAACACTGTGGTAGAGGCTAGGTAATTTTGTAATGATTGTGAATGAAGAATATATAGAAGTCAGAAGATAAGAACTTAGAATATATTTTCCCAAAAGACAATGAACAACGACAACAGTTCCAGTAAAATCCCACAAAAAGTAGGATATTTTTCCATCATACCATCTCTATATTTTGCTCTCATATTACATGCTTATATTTTTTTAAACGTATGTCCAGGTTTGAAATGGAGACAAACCTTAAAGTTAACAGAAGTTGCAACATGGGGTGTCAGATTAAAAGAGAGCAGGTCCTTCCATAAATACAAAAGATAAAAATAAACGAAACTATAATGCATACCGTGTTACGCTTAGACATTGTTCTAGTGAGCTGTGCAGCTACACCAAAATCACCTGTTCACGATATGGATAAATTTTTAAAGGATATGTAGTTTGGTATTTAGGAATGTAATATACTATCTATATGGGAAGAAAAACTGGTTGCAAATGAAAACGAGCATACATAGTTTGATATACAACAACAACAACAAAAACAACAAGCCAATATATTAATATAATCCCGCCCAATTGGAGACTGAGGTACGCAACCTTACCCCAAAAAAATACTCTTGATGCATTGCTGCATTTACTACCCAAAACGTCATTGAAAGCAAGAAGCAAAGAAAGTTCAATTACAATTTAGTCCATTATATACCAAAGCAAAACATTGTCAATTACGGATCCTTTAGCTCCACCGGCAATAAGCATATTCATAATTAAATATTGGCTTGGTTCCCATGACATTTGGAATCAATGTCATGGGATGACCCGGGGTCCCTACGATGCTCCGTTTGAAAAACTGATGGTTCATTCCACCACCCCCCCCCATAAATCCCCCCACCCTGGCCCGACCCGAACCCACCAACCCCCATCAATTGCACCCCACAAAATTTAGTTGACTTTGGAGTCAAACAAATTTTAGTTTACTTTGGAGTCAAAATTTGACTTCAAAGTCAACTAAATTTTGTGAGGTGCAATTGGAGGGAGTGTGAGTGGGTTCGGGTCAGGCCGGGGTGAGGAGGTTTACTAGAGGGGTTAAGGAGGGTAGGAACCATCAATTTTTCGAAGAAGCAACGTAGGGACCCCGAACAGGGACCATGTCATGGGGGGGGGCTAATGTCAACCGAACGCCGCCCATCAAATATACATACAACACTCTTCACAAAATGAACAAATGGTATAGAAGTATAAGTTTCTAGAGTTTAGATTTTAAAAGATGCAACACAAGCATAAAGGCACTCACCTAACTTTACCTCTCCTTGATCAGTAAGTAAAATATTACCGCCTTTAATGTCTCTGTGAACTTTAAATATTGAATGCAAGTAGGACAAGCCCTGCACAGAGAAAAACAGACTATGTAATACAAAAACAAAAACAAAAAACTGTTTCAACTCCAACAATGAAAGAATAAATTTTCTTTTAATACTACAATCCGAAAAAGATTTCATGTGATTTGGCTATCCAAATTTACAGAGGAAATTAAAACTACCAAGCTAAAAGTATGAATGGCTCTACACCGTCTTCATATGGTATATTTACTTCCTAAAAATTTCTCCACTTAATATTCCAGAATAGATTATACAAGAATTTCAAACTTAGGGAGTTAAGCACAGAAAGAAGGTGGTCAGTTGGTTTAAGAGATAATGAGAAAGGATACTTATTGTATAACATTCAACTAAATTACAACAAACAATACAGCCATATAAGCCCCGCCGCAACTCTTAGGCACTTAAGAGCAAAGAAGCACCAATCGTTTAAGTAATAAGTGAAATTAATCAATCTATACAACAACAACAAACCCAGTAAAATCGCACTTGAAAGTAGAGAGGTTGTTTCCAAGAGATCACATCTCTAACACAGTCAAAGTAAACCAACCAAATAGACACAAGATCATGAAGAAAGTGAGTACAAAGTAGTAGCAAAGAGCATAATAAGAGCAACAGAAGCACACAAATCGACATTGGCAGCTAGCCCTTAGGCACAAACAACACACGAAGAGAAGAGCAAAAACGAACTGGCAAAGGATTACCACCAAGGCCCAAGAGTCTACCCAATTACTTAGTCCTAGATCTCTAGTGTTGGAATGCCTTGAATTCTAACCTATTTGACTAGTCAACAATGGCTGCACCTGTCTGGAAAGTGGCTGGAAACCAGCTGGAAAGTGCTGGAAGGAGGCCTAGACAATTGGGCAAGTGGGTTGCTAGTTGGTGAGGTGGGCCAGCTGTATGACAGCAGTATTGTGGGCTGTCAACTGCTCAGTTCCCACTGGATTTAGGCAGCCAAGTTGGCTGCCATCTTTCCAATAAATAGGTTCATTTGTAAGGCATTCAGATATAGATCAGTCACCTAGAAAATCCCTCTGTAATCTCTCTCCTCAATCAGTAAAAGCTCTCCTCTCTTCTGTTAGGTGGACGTAGCCAACATATTGTTGGTGAACCACGTTAAATCTGTGTGTATTTGTTCTTTCGTTTCTTTATTGTTTGTTATCTTTCTTACATCCGTCATAACAAACTGGTATCGGAGCTCGGGTAATCGAGGTTTGTAATCTGGTGAGAAAGATGTCTGCTTTGAACGTAAAGATCGACAAATTCACAGGGAGGAATAGTTTTAGTCTATGGCAGATCAAGATGCGAGCTTTGTTGAAGCAACAAGGCTTGTGGACGCCATTATCAAAGGACGTTAGGGCTGACGATGTTGAGTCGGCTGCTTTCGAGGAGAAGGCACATTCGACAATCATGTTGTGTCTTGCAGATGATGTCATCACTGAGGTTGCAGATGAAGAAACTGCCGCTGGTCTATGGTTGAAGCTGGAAAGTCTATACATGACAAAGTCTTTAACCAACAAGTTGCTTCTGAAGCA